GTACAGAACTAAATAGAGAATTCTCAACAGAGAAATCTAAAATGGCTGATAGACATTTAAGAAAGTGCTCAATATCCTTAGCCATCAGGGAAATGCAAATCAAAACAATTCTGAGATACCATCTTACTCTTGTCAGAATGGCTAAAATAAAAAACACCAACGACAGTTTATGCTGGAGAGGATGTGGAGAAAGTAGAACACTCCTCCACTGCTGGTGGGAGTGCCAACTTGTTAGACCACTTTGGAAATCAGTATGGAGATTCCTCAGGAAAATGGGAGTCTACCACAAGATCCAGCAGAAAATGTGGTGCATTTACAAAATGCACTCAGAGAAGGTGGGGGGTGGGGGTGGGAGGGAAGGAATCTTGAAATTCTCAGGCAAATGGAAGACACTACAAGAAACTATCCTGAGTGAGGTAACCCAGTCACAAAAATGACAAACATGGGATGTACTCATTTATATATGGATTTTAGACATAGAACAGGAGATTGCCAGCCTACAATCCAAACCGCCAGAGAGGCTGGGAAACAAGGAGTACCCTAAGAGAGACATGCATGGTCCCTCTGGAGAAGGGGAATGGGACAGGATCCCCTGAGCATATTGGGGACAGGGGCGGGGTGGAGCTGGGAGAAAGAGAGGGGGAGAAGAAGAGGGGAAAGGAGGAAATGGGGGAGCAGGAAAGTTGAGTGGAGAGAAGAATAGAGGAGACCAGGATGAGAGATACATAACAGAGGAAGCCATTATAGGTTTGAGGAGAGATCTGGCTCTAGGGAGATTTTCAGAGATCTCCAAGGATGATACCAACTGGAAATCTAAGCAATATTGGAGAGGCTTCCTTCAATGCCATCCTAGAGCCTTCATCCAGTAGCTGGTGGAAGCAGAAGCAGACACCCACAGCTAAACACTGAGAAGAACTCCTGGAATCCAGTTGCAGAGATGGAGGAGTTAAGAGCAAAGGGGTCAAGACCAGGCTGGTGAAACCCACAGAAACAGCTGACCTGAACAAGGGGGAACTCATGGACCCCAGACTGATGGCTAGGAAACCAGCACAGGACTGTTCCAGTCCCCCTGAACGTGGGTGTCGTGAGGAGGCCTCAGCAATCTATGGGGCCTCTGGTAGTAGATCAGTATTTATCCCTGGCATAAGAATGGATTTTGGGAGCCTATTCCACGTGGAGGGACTCTCTCAGCCTGGACACATGGAGGAGGGTCTAGTCCCTGCCATGGATGATATGACAGACTTTTGGGGATTCCCCATGGAGAGCCTCACCCTCCTTGGGGAGCAGAAGGGGTATTGGTTGGAGATTTGGTGGGGTGTGGGGGAGGAGGGGAGGGTGAGGGAGTTGGGATTAACATGTGAAGCAGGCTTGTTTCTAATTTTAATAAAAATAAATTAAAAAATAACTGACACTACAACCTCTTTGTTTATTTCTTATGCTTTATTAATAAAAGAAATAAGGTAGTATTTTATGTTTTTATCTAATTAGGTTAAGACCTCTCAGAAGTGGCCAAATGGTGAGACCCCCATCTCAATTCAACCTCCCAAACAGAACAGAACAAAACCCATCATTAGAACCTAGGTTTAGGTTTTCAGAAGTTTTTGAAGCTAGCTCCCTTTTCTCTCATAAGTTGTTTAGAGCTCACTGTTGATAACTTTTTGAAGTGGTAAAACTCATTTTCCTGAAAAACTGGTCTGCTTCACACTTCCAAGTCAAAAAAATAGATACCAATGTCCCCAGATGACATCACAAAATAACTAACAAACACCGAACCAGCATCTCCTGACCCAGAGAGCCTTGCCTGTTCTCTCCCGCCACTCAAAACATAACTGCAGTTAGGGTTCTGCAGAGATGGCTCCGTGGTTAAGAGCACGCACTGCTCTTGCAGAGGACCTGAGTTTGGTTCCCATAACTTATGTCTGGCGGTTCACACTGCCTGTAACCGATCTCTGAGAGCAATTGCATCCACATGCACCCCACCGCCTACCCCAGTGTTGTAGAATATTATTTTAAGGTGTGTTACTTTTGTTTATGCTTTGGAACATTTGTTTAATGATGCAAAGATGTTTGATTAAATAGAATTCACCTGCTGTGAGGAGGCTGCATCAGCAACTAGCTGACAGGAAGTTGTAGGGAGGAGCCTGTTGGAGAAGGGTTTATAAGGAGGACTGAGGAGAAGCATGAGGCCTCTTGAGAGGGAGAGAAGGTGAGCTACTTGCTATTCAGCCCCTCTGAGGAACAGAGTTCCATCTTAGCCTTTGAATCTTGAGTTCTTTAAAGGGACAGGGATTTAGATAAGTTCCCTTTGCAGCTGTGAAAGAGTTGGTGCCTGAGGGAGTTGCAGCTGCTGATTCATTCGGCTGCTGTGGCTTAAAAGACAGCAACAATTTAAAAAGAGGACAACACTCCATCTCATGAGAGATGGCTCAGTGGTTAAGAGCACTGGCTGTTCTTCTAGAGGACTTAAGTTCCATTCCCAGCACCCACATGGCAGTTCACATTGTCTGTAACTCCAGTTTCAGGGGATCTGACACCCCCACACAGACATACATGCAGGCAAACACCAATGTACATGAAGAAAAAAAAAGAATTAAATATAACTATAGTCAAGGAATTCAGGACAATAACAGGTGTAATCTGAATTCATATATTCTATTCAAGTGTTGATTCGGTACCCTGCAAGTGTAGGGAAGTATAAGTATGTGATCTCTCTGAACGTCATTCTTTCTTCTGTAAAACAAGGGGGAATGGAGTGCTAGTTTTCACAAAGACATTGGTAAGTAAGTAGTATTGATTTTCATCAGCCTAGCTGCTGGTTACACTTTATTTATTCATTCATTTGAGACATGGTCTAGGCTGGCCTCAAACTCCCTATGTAGCCAAGGATGACTAAATTTCAGATCCACTTGCCTCTACTTGTGTGCTAGGTTTATACAGTGTTGGGGATAGGACCTAAGGCGTTGTGCGTGTTATGCAAGCATTCTACCTACTGAGCTGCATTGTCATCCCTTACTTCTTAAGTGTGTGTGTGTGTGTGTAGGCCAGAAATTGTTGTAAGGTGTCTCAGGGCTACCAAGTCCCAGGGATCCTCCTGTCTTCACTCCCATCCCTGGGATTAGAAGTGTACTCTGTGCACCTGCTCTTTTAATGTGTGTTCTGGGACTCAGATTTAGGTTTCATTCTTGAGCTGTGAATGCTGTACCAATTGAGCCCCATAGCTAGCCCTGACCCTATATTTTTAATACTTCCATGTTTGGTCACTATGATTAGTCTCCAGGTTTGTAGAGATCAATGTTCCAAATAGCTTTATCCAAAATATTTTGGCCTCTCTTGTTCCTGTCCATACAAACATACAGGACTGACACAGGTGTACACACACACACACACACACACACACACACACACACACACACACACACAGAGTGTCTGCTGTCCCCTTTTATATTCAAATCATGCACATAAATGCAAACAGCACAGAACCCACTAGCTGGAGTCCACACTCTTTTACAAAGAACCATCGTCTACAAATACACTCTTGGCTCACCAGTCACACTTGGAACCTACCAGCCATCTGACAGATCCCAAGCTACTCACATTGCTAGATCCATTCATGCAAAGCTGTTTACCGGCTCCTTTATGGGAAGGTACATTATTCTTGCTTTCTTTGGGGATTATTTTATCTCAGTTCTTTTTGTTTTTGTTGTTCTAGAGAGTTTATCATCTGTCCCTCTTTCTCCCTACCCAGCCCCCAAACCTCCCCCCTCCAGCTTCCATTGCGCATGTGTTATGAATCCCTCCCCCATTCTGGGTACCAGTTGGGCGCTTTCGGGAGCAGGCGGTTGAAGAGATGGAGCAGCTTCCTCTGGAGCTCCCGACCCCTTAGAAACGCTGCTGACCAGAGCTGCCTTCCTCCCTGCAGCTTCAGCAGGGATGGAGTGAAAGGGGACACCTCGACCTGCCCGCGGGGATCAGCAATGGAGTTAAAGCAATCTCTGTCTGTCCATCTGGAAGCCGAGAAGCCTCTGAGGCGCTATGGGGCGGTGGAGGAGACAGCATGGAAAGCGGAGGGACTGGGAAGTAAGTGTTCGGGCAGGGAATGGATGGGAACAGTTGGGGATCTGTGAGCTAGAATTGGTGGCCTCTAGTGTGCGAGAAACGTGGGTGGGCAGACAGGGGAAGCGCCCCCGCAGCCCGGCTTCCAATGTTGCACAGCAGCGGTGTTCTCCCTACAAACAAAAGATGGGACCCTCCAGGGCTGGGCTGCACCAGGAGGCTCCTCAGGAAATCACAAGGCAGCTAAGCCAGGAGGAGCCTGGGCCCGGACTAGGGAGTCCCAGATGCGGGAGCCAGGCGCTGCTCTTGCGAAGGACAGTCTTTCCTGCAGCCTAGGAAGGAGGGTACTAAGGCGTTGGGATGCTTGAGGGCGGCGCAGGAGCTAAGGGCCAGCTTCGGAAGCGCCCACGTACTGGAGATGGGGGAGTGTCTGCTTGCTCTTCCTGCCTTGAGGTTCAGGGCATACTGAAATCCCATCTTCTCCTGGGTCAGAGGGAGAGGCAAGAGAGCAAACAAGGGCAAGGTCAGCCCTGTACACACACCTGTACTCTTCTAGCCCTTGACTTGATGACTAGCAGGCGGTTTTGAAACAGTCCTCTGCACCCACGGATTCTCTATATGGTGTTTTGGTATTGACAGATATCGGTAAATAAATCCAAGACTTTTGCTTTCAATTTGTTGGACTTGATACTTAAAACTGCAAAATGTGGGGGCTGTTTGGAAAGTCTAGGATTACTGATGTTCCTGCAACTCTCAGGGCTTCCCAGTGTCCTCCACCCCACCTCCTGTTCTGGTATGGCTTGCTCAGCAGCCCTAGTGCATGTGGCCTGCCAGGCTGGAAAAAGCCCTCTTGTCTTCTGAGGGGCCCTGCAGCTCCCTGCTTTGACTCTGGCTCTCTGAGCTCAGGGCTCTTTCCCAGTACCAGTTCCTGAATTACAAGTACTTAAAGTATTGTAAATATGCTGCTTTCCCATCTTCACTTCTGAGAAATTTGCGTGTGTGTGTCTGTCTCTCTCTCTCTCGTGTGTGTGTGTGTGTGTGTGTGTGTGTGTGTGTGTGTGTGTGTGTGTGTGTTGTTTTCTTCATACTTATTACTATGGACTCAACAGCTTGGCTATATTGTGTTTGGATTTCAAGTTCAAATGTCTTCATTCCTGCTATGATGAGTGTCCTAATCCTTCCAACCTTTTTCCTTCTTTCATTTTCTTTCTCCTTTTAAGACCTGGCTTCATTCTTCTGCTTCATCCTTTCTAACTCTTTGGCTTTATCATTTGAGGTAAACTCAAGGCTGAAGGTCTGTTTTACAAGCTCAAAATAATACCACCAATGGGTGACTTTTAGATTGTTATATTGCCATATCCTGAAAACTTCAGATACACCATCTGATTTAATCATTGTTACCACCTCTAGTGGCCTTGTGACATCCTTTGCATGGATGAGAAGATTGGGGCTTACTAGGTGATATAAACGGAAATGCTAAGACCAGTGTTCAGACCCAGGTTAGCTGAACTCCACACATTTTTTTTTTAAATGAAAGTTTACTGCTTTCATAGTTTTAGGAACCTTCCTGTGTCTGTGTCAAAGATCGTCAGTGATTTTATAAGCAGACAGCGGCCCTGTTGGTCCTGAAGCCCCAGTTAAGTAGAAGCTGAGCACAATCGAGGAATCTCAGATTTGACTAGGGCTTTTTGGCTGACTGACAATGTAACAATGTGGCAAGGTGTGTTTCCTTCCTCACTCTACCTCTGTTCTTTGAAAGTGGGGATAATGTCATGCACCATATGGCTTTATTGTGAATATTAAACACGATGGTTCTTAGGTGATTACTCAGGACACAGCTGTGTATTGAAACATACATTCATTATTTCCAAACATCTGTGGAGCAGACACCTTTCATCTTTCCATGAAACCTCATCAAGTGAAACTGGGTTAAAACTGCAATACCGGGAAGACCTCTGTGAGTTCTAGGCCAGCCAGCGCTACAAAGTAAGACCCTGTCTCAGAACAAAAAAACAAAGCAAACTGAAAATATCGAGCAAGTTCCCTAATAGCATGTCCCCACCCTGACGGTCTCATGTAGCCCAGATTGGCCTCAAACTCTCTGTAGCCAAGGATGACCTTGAATTCCCCGCCTCTCCTCCCAAGTGTTGGCATTCAGGTGTGTGCCAGTATGCCCAGCTCCTTCCTAGCACTTCTCTTATAGCTTTTCATGTCTTGCTTTTTACTGGGGAAAACCAAATTCAAGCAAGGGAAAGGTAAGATAAGAATTCAGTTTCTGACATGTAAGTACCTGGCAATTTTATATCTCTTAGTCCTGGCTGTAGACTCCCTAATCAATGGCAGACCAGTTTCTTGTGTGCTTGGGCCCAGATCCCCAAACCTATCTACCCCTTAGCTCTTTAAGCCATTCACTTTTGAAATCTTCTCCAAGCAGGACTCCAGAGGCCCACTCTGGGAACTTGAATCTAGCATGTTGGGGTATTTTGGTTCCTGTCTACAATAAGGAATTTGGAGATTTTTGTTTGTGTGTAAACTTCTTCTCAACTCCCAAGTGATCTACAGAACCACCCTATAGGTGCTTCATAGCCGTCTTTTCCTCCAGCTCTAGCAGATCTGTCACTGTCTTCTGAACTATCCAAACACCCACATGTGCACACACACAAGTAAAATGAAAACTTAAAAATGGGAATAGCCTCCCAGGGAGCCTCTGGTGGTGGATTAGCATTCTTCCCTGGTGCAAGAAGGGACTTTGAGAGCCCATCCCACTGTGGGGGGTAGGGGGGGTGGGGAGGAGGGTTGGGGGTGAGGGGAGGGAGAGGGAGAAGGGACTTGAAATAAGCTTGTTCCCTAACTAGAACTAATAAAATAAAATAAATTATAAAAAAATGGGAATAACCAAAGTAATGGATGCTCGGGGCCCTTAGGGGACAGAATGAGGTAATTTAACACACAGCCTGGTCTGTTGCAAGCTCCAGGTCAATGCTAAATGGTTGTCATAGCAGGAGCCAGTAGAAAAGAGCGATTACTGAAAAGTTGCAAAGAGTGGATGGTGGCTGTGTCTGTGCTGCCTACTTAACAAAGTGTACAGAGAGACACTTTTTAGTGCCTCACTCTGTGCCCTTTTTCAGTTCTAGGGATAGAATTAGGGGACCCAGAAACTGATATTGGGGTTCAAGCTTCAAGCTGAAGATCAGAGAAGCAAAGCAGCCAACCCAGTAGATCTTACCTCTATATCAGGCGGAAAGGGCTGATCCTGTCTCCACAGGCTCTCACCAAGCTTCAGACAGTGTGGCTCTCCTCAGCGTGGCTGGGGAATCCTGAGACTGAATACTGAAGACCCTGCTTCTATCTTTTATATCTCCCTAGTGCTGGGATTAAAGACATGAGCTCTGTTACTCTTTTAGACTGATACAATCCCCTCTATCCCTGGGTGGCCTTGAACTCAGAGAGATCCGTCTTCCTTTGTCTCCTGCGTCCTGGGATTAACGGTGTGTGCCTGGCTTCTATGGTTAACTAGTATGGCTGCTTTGCTATTTTGATCTCCAGTGTCTTTAATAAATCATAATACATCAGCACACTAGGGAATCATGAATGCTAGAAACTGTCTAGTATTTTCTCACTTAAAACAGATTCTAAGAAATTGCTTCTATTAACCCTTTTCCTTCTCAACCTTACCAGATAGCTCAGGCTATCCTCAAAGTTGAGCTCCTTCTGTCTCTATCTCCCATCTACCTTTGACAGCATTTTTCCATAAGCAGTGAGGTTTTTTTTTTTAATAACTCAGTTGGAAAATGTATAGTGACATTTCACTGTGGTGAGATCTTTAAAAATATGGCTTTCAACTGACTGTAATTAATTAAGGGAGACATGAAGACATGGTGCCTTTGAGAAAGCTTGGGGCTCTTGAAGAGCACAGTGGTCTGTTGTCAGGGCCACATCTTAGCAGATCTTAATGTGCCTTAAAAGATGATCAAGGACTTGGGGGAGAGGATGGAGGGAGGATGGGTATTTGTCTCTCTCTCTCTCTCTCTAAAAAAAACTTGTGTGTGTGTGTGTGTGTGTGTGTGTGTGTGTGTGTGTGTGTGAGGCGGGTGTGTGCCAAGGGTATCAGGGTAGAAGAGGCTGCAATAAAGCAGCTATCCCAGGCAGCTACCTTCCCAGAAGCCCCTGGAAGATGACTGTTATTTACAAGTCCACGGATGTGAAGTGGATCATTAACTGACCAGTATCTCTGTTAATAAACATTACAGAGCTTGAAGCAATGTGACTTGCTGCCTATCTGTGTAACACACTGTTGGGGAAAGGTTTTTGCACCATTTCCCTTGGTTTGACTCATTTCCCCTGACTTTCTTAATAGGGAACATAATTGCATTATTTCTCCTTTTTTTAGCATTATTTTACTTCTTACAAAAATAATAAGTTCACATTTTGTTGTTGTTTAGAGACAGGATCCCATGTATCCCAGACTAGCTTCCATTCACCATATAGCCAAGGATATCTTTGCCTCCACCATGGAAATGCTGGAGTGACAGGAACATGCCACACTCCTGGAGGTGTTCCAGGAGAGGGGCACCAGCACTGACCAAGGCAAAGGCCCTCCCATGTGCACAGTTTATTTAGGGGACATCAGGGTATCAGATAATATCTAAACAGCGTTCTGGTCATGATAAACGTTTCCTTGGAATTCTCAGGGAGGAATACTGCTCATCTGGTCATCAGGAAATGACTGGCCGAAGAATGTAACATTTGGCATGCAAATAGCAAGGGATCCAAGCTCTGGATGCAAAGAATTGGCCTATTCAAGGAAGAGAGACAGATGACTAAGGCAGTTGGGACCCAGTGAGTCAGGGCAAGGTGGTTCTTAGTCAGAAAGGAGGCAGGCCAGATATGACCTGTGGCTATGATTTTAAGAAAAGTCTGAAGCTGACTCCCGTGGTAAGATATGTTGCTGGGTCACACTTTTCCATATATTAATATACTTATTTATTTTACGTGTGGGGAGGGCATGTGGAGGTTGAGGGACAGGTGTCCATTCCCTCCTTCCACTGTGGTGGAAGTCCTGGGGTGGTCAGTCTTGGTAGAAAGCTCCTTCACCCACTGCAGGGCCATTTTTAGCAAGGAACAAACACAGGGTGGCTTTTGTTCTAAAAAGGCCACACTAGCTATTGGGGGAGAGTAGGACCACAGAGGGGCAAGCTGTGGTTCACATAGTAGCGCTTGAACAGCACTGAAGCACCCCTTCTTCCTTCCTGATGGCATCCATTTTGAGCAAATGGGGAATGTCCTTGTGTGTGAAGGGTTGACAAGGGACAGAGACAGCATGGCTGGTCTCTGGAGGCTGCCAACTGAGTGAAAAAGTCGATGTGCTTGTCTTGGTACCCTCAGCTAATAGGCAGCAAGATTGAGTTGTGGAAACTATAAAAGCAGAGACTGGAATTATGAAGATGCTGATATTAAAGAATTTGTTTTCCTTTTTCTGGCTGGCCTCGAACTCTTGGTGATCATCCTGCCTCAGTGTCGTGACTGTCAAAATCACAGGCATGAGCCGTCACCCTTGCATCTGATAGGGTGACGTTTTATGCTTTCTTTCTATGTGTTAAATGAAGGTGGAAATGTCAAGAGTGTTTATTCTTGGTATTTCCCCTAACCCCGAAACAGTTTCTCTGTGTAGCTCTGGCTGCCCTGAAACTCTCTCTGTTGACCGGGCTGGCCTTGAAGTCAGAGATCCAACTGCCTCTGCCTCTGCCTCTGCCTCTGCCTCCAGAGTTCTGGGTTAAAGGTGTGCACCACCATGCCTGACCCTGGATACCTGGATGGTTATTCAATGCTTGTTAATAATACAGTCACTGAGAGTCAGCTGTGAACTCAAGTTCATTCACTTCTCATGGCAATTCTGTGTTCAACATAAGCAGAGTTGTAATTCCCACTTTATGCTTGGGGAAACTGAGGTATAGGGAGATTAAAGAAGTTGCTGAAGATCCTTTTTTAAAATTTATTTAAGACTATGTAGCTCTGGCTGTCCTGGAACTCGCTCTGTAGACCAGGCTGGCCCTGAACTCACAGAGATCTGCCTGCCTCTGCCTCCCAAGTGCTGGGATCAAGGGTGTGTGTCACTGTGTTTAGCCAGCAGAAAGTCTTAAAGTCAGTAATTGGCAGAGTTTAATCTGACTCTAGGCCTCTCCAACTCCAAGTGTCTCTTTCCAGAGAGGTCTGGTATTCCTAGCCCAGGGAAGAGGCAGCAGAGATTGGAAGTAAAGCAAGGCATGGCTTGGAGCCTCAAAAAGCATACAGATATGGGCATGGGGGATGCAGTTACAAAGAGCAGTGTCAGTGGAATGAGACTAGCAGGAGTTAGAGATTTGCTCTCACAAAGGGACTTCAGGCTGACAGCAAATAAGAACGTTTGCATTAGGCATGTGAACTAAGCAGTTTCTAGAAATGGAGAGAGGTGAGGAGGGTACTTCAGGTTAACTGCCAGTTTGAAGAGAGGGCATCTCAGGTAAGCCACCTGCTCAAGGCAAGGAGGAAGTGATTTCAAAGGCCGGAGTCCATACACTGGCTTTGGGTTTTGATTTGATTTTTATCCCTGGCTTCTTTCCCCTGGCTTAATGAACTATGCTTCCATTGGCTTATGTGCTATTCCATTGCTCCCTTAGGCCAATTATGTGTTTCCTCCATACACATGTGATTTGGAAGCCAGCACAGGCAGATGCTCTTCTGGAGTAGCCTTTCAGAACACTGTTTATGAGCGCGTCTGAAGAGGCTAATGCATGGCTCATTCCTTCACCATTCGCTTGCTGCACAGGTTGAATGCCTACTGTGTGCTAACTTCAGAGACACAGAGTAGAGAAGGCCCAGGCTCCCCCGTAGAAGAATTCCCTGTCTGTGTTTCCCTTTTCACTCAGCTGCTTCCTAGCAACTGGAATCTTAGGCAATGTACCTTAAACTTCATTTTCCTACTCTGTAAAGTAGGAATAGTCAGTCCCCTGAGGATTAGACAGGGCACTGTCAGTAAGCATGGTGTTTGACATATCCATTTCTGATGTTACTGAAGTCACAGTATCAGGTTCAGTCAGCTTAGTTTATTAAGAAGCATCAGAGGTAGGAGGAACGCTCAGTGGATCAAGCCTGAAGACCTGAGTTTGGTCCCTAGAATTCACAAGAGAACCGGCTCCTATAGGCTGTTCTCTGACCCCTGCATGTGTCCCACAATACTCACTTTTTTGGTTACAAGGGTGTGTGTGTGCCAAGAAGAAGAGATGACTCAGTCAGGAAAATGCTTGCTGTCAACCATGAGGGCCTGGGTTCAATCCCCAGAACACACATAAAAATGACGCCTTTTTGGCATGCACTTTTATTCTCAGTGCTGGGGAGTGGACCCAGGAAGCTCTCTGAGACTCCATGGGCAGCTAGCTTAGCCTACTTGGTAAGCCACAGGCCAGTGAATACCCTGTCTCCAAAGACAAGGTGCACAGTGCTTAGGGGACTGCTGACACACATGCACACACCCACAGGCTTGCTCACACACACATGCACACACCCACAGGCTTGCTCACACACACATGCACACACCCACAGGCTTGCTCACACACACATGCACACACCCACAGGCTTGCTCACACACACATGCACACACCCACAGGCTTGCTCACACACACGTGCTCATATACACAGGCTTGCTTACACACACATGTATACATTCACAGGCTTGCTCACACACACACACATACACACAACCACAGGCTTGCTCACACACACATGCACACACCCACAGGCTTGCTCACACACACATGCACACACCCACAGGCTTGCTCACACACACATGCACACACCCACAGGCTTGCTCACACACACATGCCACACACACACACACACACACACACACACACACACACACATCCACAGGCTTGTTTACACACACACACACAGGCTTGTTTACACACACACACACAGGCTTGTTTACACACACACACACACACACACACACACAGGCTTACTCACACACACACACATGCACACATCCACAAGCTTGCTCACACACACACATCCACAGGCTTGCTCTCACATACATGCACACATCCAAAGGCTTGTTCACACACACAATGAACATATCCACAGGCTTGCACACACACACACACACACACACACACACACACACACACACAGGCTTGCTCACACACACACTTCTACAGGCTTTCTCTCTAACACACACACCTACAGGCTTGCTCACACACACATGCACACATCCACAGGTTTGCTCACACACATACATTTATTTAAAAAAGGCCTGCTAGGTGGGTAGAGCTGATTGCCCATGCTCATCACATATCCAGCACCTAAACCCTTCTTATTCACTCAATAGTCACTGAATTGGGAGGTTGTCAATCCATGAGTGTTGGGTGCAAATGTGTTTTGTAAACCTTCAACATCATGAACCTGAAAGAAAGTTGGACTCTTGATTAGTCTGCGTTGGCTGTCCATATACTTGACATTTGTTTGTTCCTGAGTCTGTGCTTAGATCAACATTGTTTCTTTCTGCAAGAAGCAAGATTTTAAGATAACTTATATAGTATCTGGAATGGCACTGTTGTTGGGAACCAATAACCCTGATGACTATGGGTAGAGGCTGGGGTAGGCTCCCCACAGATACCAAGATCCCCAGTTCTCAGATACATCCACAGGTGGGGTACTGCTCATAGATATTTTTTAGAGTACACACACACACACACACACACACACACACACACACACAAATCCAAAACCTCATTTAGCTTGCTGGTCCACTGCTTCTTGGCCTTTTGGCTAGCCTTTATTAAATATTGAAACATTTATACATCCTGAAGAGAAATCATAAAAGTCTGTCAACTAGAAATAGAAACACTAGTGCACAAAGACCCTGAGATTGTCACAAAGTAAAGACATGTAGAAGTTATGGCTTATCCACCATGAAATGCTATGCAGCTGGGCTAGGTGTCAGCAACTGGGGAGCCCGGTTCTCTAGGGATCAGTTCTACCTTAGTTATTTCCTAGAGGCTCGTGGGAGGGGCAACTAGGCTAGTTTATTCATCTCTGCTGAGATAGATCTTCTAATAAATGGAAGCATGATTCACGAGGTTAACTATGACCTGTGTCCCAGTTACTTTTCCTGTTGTTATGATAAAATACCTGACAAAGGCAACTTAAGGAAGGAAGGAATTACTTTGGCTGACAGTTTGAGGTACAATCCATCATGGTGAGGACATCAAGGCAGCAGGCACTTGAGGTGGAAGCTAGTCAAAGAGCTGTATCCAGGCAGAAAGCAGAGAGTGATGGATGCCACACTCACCATACTTTCTTCTTTTTATCAGTCCAGAGCTCCAGCTCTTGGGATGTTGCTGCCCATAGCTGAGACAGATCTTCCCACTTGGATTAACCTCATGTAGGTAATGCTTCACAGGCATGCCCAGGGGCTTGTTTCCTAGGTGACTCTATTCTAGGTCAAGTTGACAATATTAACCAGCACAACCGGTTTT